TGATTTGGACGCGTAGATGTGCACAGTGATTGTTTTCCTAAAGTTTATGAAGTGTTTTAGGGGAAAGTGTCAGTGCATCCCCAGTAAAAGTTGGTAGCCGCACTCTGAGGCCACCAAAACCTGTCGTGAGAAGCCCTGCACTACACCTCCCAGTCTGTGGTTCCCCAGGGGCGGGCGGGGGCCGCAGTGTATGCTGGGACCTGTCACCTCCCTGGCCCACACTCGGCGGGGACGGTGCTGCAAGGATCCTGCCCTGTGTGCCAGCACGCCGCTGGGTAACCTTCTCCTTCAGCGTCCCCAGGTGCCCAGCGTCCCCATCAGCAAGTGCGCGGCCTGCCAGAAGAAGCAGCAGTCAGAAGACGAGAAGCTGAAGCGCTGCACTAGGTGCTACCGAGTGGGCTACTGCAATGTGTGAGTTGGCGCATGCGGCCAGAGGGGCGGGCGGGGGGTGGGGGCGCTGGCTTGTCTGGGGGGCAGGGCCCTTGAGAGACCCAGTGGTCTGTGTGTTACAGGGGGTGTCAGAAAACACACTGGCCAGATCACAAAGCCTTGTGCCGCCCCGAGAACATCGGCTTCCCCTTCCTCATCAGTGTGCCGGAGTCGCGCCTCACCTACTCCCGCCTGGCCCAGCTCCTGGAGGGCTACGCGAGGTAAGGGCACCGCGTGGGCACCGGCTGGGCAGCTCCCCGCACAGTCGCCTCTGCACCAGGTTCTTGGGCCGGGCCGCTCACTGAACTCTCCCTGGCAGAGAGGTGGGGGAGGGGAGGGGCAGCCTCCGAAGCGCGGGGGTCTGTGTGGCCATCGGCGTCTCCGGCTGACAATGCCGCTCGAAGGGCTCTCCGCGCTCGCGGAGGGGGGCTCCGGCACCTTCCGGGGCTCGGCCTGGAGCGGGCTGTGCGTGTGCTCTTCTGGGCTCGGCCGCTCTGTTTGCAGGCGCCTTTCGCGGCCTCGGCTCTGACGGCTCTTCCCTCCGCAAGGTACTCGGTCAGCGTGTTCCAGCCTCCTTTCCAGCTGGGCCCGCAGCCCCTGCTCCCCGAGAAGCTGGACCTGCCTGCGAGGAGTAGCTGTGCGGCTGCCGCCCCTGCCCCAGAGGCGGGGGATGGGGACAGGGCCCCTCACCGGCAGGAGCCCCAGCTGTCCGCCCCAGAGCTGCACCCGGAGCTGGGGGAGGCCAGCGCAGTGCCCAGGAGTTCCACGCTCAGCTCGGATTCGGGCTGCTCTGAGCGCTCCCTGGAGGCGCAGGGCGAGGGCTGCTGGGAGAAGGAGCCGTCCTACGAGCGAGGCCCCAAGCCTGAAGGTAGGAGCCCTAGGGCTGCTCGGCATCCCCGGCCCCACTGCCTTCCTGGCGCTGGCCAGCGCAACCCCGCCAGCCCCTCCAGTGCCCGGGCTCGCCGGCTCCATGCGAGGGGACGCCCCAGAGCTCCCCAGGCAGGCCCGGCTCCAGGGTTTTGGCCGCCCCAAGAAGCCAAACAAAAAAAAGCCGCGATCGCGATCTGCGGCGGCAATTTGGCGGGAGGTCCTTCGCTCCGAGCGGGAGTGAGGGACCGTCCCCCGAACAGCTGCCGCCCCTCTCCGAAGTGGCCGCCCCAAGCACCTGCTTGGTAAGCTGGTGCCTGGAGCCGGCCCTGTGCCCAGGGCATCCTGTCTGCCAGGGTGCTCGTCGGGCAGCACTGCCAGCAGAGCCCCTCGCCTTCCCATCCCGCTGCTCTGCCCCAGCCCCCTGTCACTCGACCCTGCCGCAGGACAGCCTGGGAGCAAAGGGAAACGCCTCCTAACCCAGCTCCCCAGCCTGGCTCACCAGGCAATGGCGGTGATGATCTGCCCTGGTGGAAGGAGCGCTTGGTACGCACAGTCCCCCCGGGTTGGCAGAACTGCTCCCCTCCAGACAGCCCCCTGGAAGTGCCCGTGTGCCCGCAGAGGCTCCTGCAGCCCGGGGCCCCTGCCGCTGGGCACTCCCTGAGTGGCTGCCTTTGCCTGTCCCCAGCTGCCATCCCCGGATACCAGCATGCGCCTGACGCACTCAGTGCCCACGCCCAGTTCTACATCAACAAGATCGACGGAGCCAGCCGAGAGCACAAGCTGGAGGAGAAAGGTGAGCCCGGCCCTCACGGCCCTGCAGTTCAGCTTGCCTGGGCCGCTCGGCTGGGGAACCTCCCCGGAGGTGCCCTCACCTGCCTGTTGGCTGGCTAACAGTGCGCTCCTTGAGCACCCAGCGCAGGCGGGGCGGAGCTCCCGTCCACAGGGCAGAGGTCAGCACCCATGCACGGGGGAGGAAACACAGAGCTGCAGCCCGGATGCCTTGGTTCTTCTCCCGGCTGGCGCGCACTCTTCAGGTTCTGCCCCGGCTGCAGGTCCTGAGGCTGAGTGGATTTCCATATGCACCCCATGGCACCTGGGTCCTGGGCACAGCCACACTGCATGGGTGTGACTGGGAGCCCAGCTGGGCTGGCCGCTCCTCCCTTCCCTGGGGCAGCTGCGGGGTGTGGGGGGGGAGCTCTGGCTGGCAGCCATCCGTGGCTAATTTCCAGCCGGGGGGAGGAGAGCCTGATGCCAGGTCAGCTCTCCCCCTTCCCCGCCACTGGTTGGGCCCTGGGGCACGGGGGGAAGGGGGCAAGGGGCTGCTGTCTGAGCCCCTGGCTGTTGCAGGCGATGCCCCGCTGGAGCTGACTGACGACTGCTCCCTGGCCCTGGTGTGGAAGAACAACGAGCGCCTCAAGGAGTTTGTGCTGGTGGAGTCCAAGGAGCTGGAGTGCGTGGAGGACCCGGGCTCGGCCAGCGAGGCGGCCAGGGCCGGCCACTTCACGCTGGGCCAGTGCCTCAACCTCTTCACCAAGCCGGAAGTGCTGGCGCCCGAGGAAGCGTGGTGAGGAGGGGCCGGCTCTGCTGTGGGGTCCCTGCTTGCCCCGGGGCGGGGGAGGCTGGTGACGGGCTCTGAGCCGTGGGCAGTGTCTCCCCCAGGGGCTCCGGCCCGGGGCCTGCGGCTGGGGCAGCAGCGACTCCACATGCCGTGGGGCTGTGCTGCTCCGCCCCATGCCTGCCTCTGGCTGCTGGCCACCCCTTGGCTCACAGCTCCGCTGGGCGGGGGGGAGGCGTCCAGGCAGCCTCCTGGGCACCCCCCATGGGCTCTCGTCGGGGGATCCCAGCCGCAGCGTAACCGGCCGTGCCTCCCCAGGTACTGCCCCAAGTGCAAGCAGCATCGCGAGGCCTCCAAGCAGCTCATGCTGTGGCGCCTGCCCAACGTGCTCATCATCCAGCTCAAGCGCTTCTCCTTCCGCAGCTTCATCTGGAGGGACAAGATCAACGACATGGTGGACTTCCCAGTCCGGTGAGCCGGCCACGCCCAGCCCTGGGGCCTCTGGCCCCCGGGGCACTTCCCCGGCTCAGCCCCCAGATCCCGCCTCCCCAGGAGCACTGAGGCTTGGGCGGGCCGGGGGCCAAGGTGGGGGCTGGGCTGGAGGTGGGGGCAGGCCGGGGACAGGAGC